CGCATCCCCCCATCCGTCAGCCAGCGCGCCCCCTCCGCCCCGACCCCTTTCTGTCGGCACGGCACCGCCCCCCTCCCATCCCGCGCTCCAACTCCGCATCACCCCACCCACCAGCCAGCGCGCCCCCTCCGCCCCGACTTTTTTATTTCGGCACGGCCCCGCCCCGCCCCGACCCCTTACTATAGGCCCTCCGCATCCTCCCACCCACCATCAAGCGCGCCCCCTCCACCCGCGCCCCCTTCGCACCCTCCCACCCAGCACGCCCCCTCCGCCCCGACCCCTTTGTTTCGGCGCGGCACCGCCCCCTCCGCCCTGACCGGTTTATTTCGGCATGGCACCGCCATCCCCCATGCCAAGCGCCCCCATTGCATCACCCCGCCCACTAGCCAACGCGCCCCCTCCGGCCCGGCCCCTTTTATTTCGGCACGACACCGCCCCTAATCCCGAGTGCCCCCTTCATCACCCCATCCACCAGCCAGAGCGCCCCCTCCGCCTCCCCCTTCCTTCCTGTGCAAGAGCAATGAAACAGCGTGCCACTTGTTTTTTATTGCTTCCCCATTAGGACCTCAAAGAGAATCCGCCGATCCCAGCCCTCAGCAGGATTGTCCATTGTTGTATGTGTGATCCAATCGAGAATCCAATAGGAAATGTGCCGCCAGCCTCCCTTTGCATTCGGAATATGCGTGCAAATGTGCAGATCCCTGTCTCCTGTGCTTCCCAACAAGAATTCAATAGGACATGCACCGTTCCCCCCCCCCGCAGGTACTTTCATAGGAATCCAATGGTAAATGGTACATGCGCCACCCACGGTCTCGTATACGTTGCTTATGCGTTCCACTTACGTTTCGTTTACGTTATTATACGTCATGTAGGTGTCGTGTAGGTGCCATTTACGTTACGTTTTGTATCCGGTAGGTGTCGTGTAGATGTCGTGTAGGTGCCATTTACGTTGCGAAGTACGCTTCGGCTGCATTTTACGGTGCGTTGTTGTATCCGTTTAGCACGTTTCCCATGCGCGTTCCGTATGCGTTTCATATTCGTTTCATCTATGTTTCATATGCGTTTCATGCACGTCCCATGTACGTTTCGTGTCCGTTTCGGATGCGTTTCAGAGACAAGTCATCTACGGGCCGTAGACGTTGCGTGTACAGCGCGTGTACGTGTGGCTCACGTTTCGCATGCGTTCCTGAGCCGTTCCGCATACGTTTCGTACGTGCTTCTGCCAGCTTTGGGATGCGCGTCCCATTTGTTTCGTAAGCGTTTGGCTGCACTGTTCGTCCACATTTCTTAGATTTTCGTATGCACTGCCGTCCTGGAGTGCCTTTTGCGCCTATATGAGGTCCTCCTGGAGGTCTTAGACCTCGCATCTGATCTCGCAGTGGAACGGTCTAGATCCCAACTGCGCAATATGAAAACCGAGTGACTCCCATTCAGGGGCACCATTGGCACCATTCGGATTTCATTGCCAAGGCGATCATGCGATCACAAAGCTTTACATACTTTTCTCTGGTGGTTGGGATCTGGACGGTTCAGTTTTTCTTGCCGTTTGGGATCTGGACCGTCCAGTTGGGACCTGGACCGTCCAGTTTGGACTTGACCCCATAGTTTCCCCCCTGGACCCCCAAGAGAGGCTCCTCAGGTTTAGAAAGGTTTTCCCTCTGGACCTCCCCCCAAACCCCCTCTTAGGTTTTTTTTCATTCGTTGAGGGGTGTTTCCCCTCCCTGACCCGCCCAAACCACCCTCAGGGTGTTTTTGGAAGATTACAGGGGCCTCTTCCCTGTTGAACCCCCACGTTGGACCGTTTTTTAGATTTAGGGACTCTCTGGGCGAGCGCTCGGATCTCGGGACTGTCACCAGAACGACTCAGGTTCAAGTCGGTTCCAGGGAAGGGGTCCAGACCTCTGGGGGTCGACGTTGTGAACAAATCACGACGTCTGGATCTCCGGGAGGGGACCTCGCTCAAGGCTCGATCGGTTTGCGCAGGCCGAGGCAGGAGCTTGCTGTCAGCCGCCCGCGCAGGGCCGCGTGTAGGCGCCGTCTGGTCCGAGTGGTGGGCCTGCCGCATTGGCGACCTGCACAGGCCATCACGCGCGGTCGCTATTTCGTCTCGCGTGGAGATCCCGCCTGCCCCGCTGCTCCAGCGGCGCCACGGCAGGCTCTGTCGGAGGACCTCGGCGCACCGACCGGGCATCGGCGCTGCGGTGCGCTCTCTGGTCGCACCTCCTCCCCTCGGACGTTGCGATTTTACACTTGGCCTCAGTCCGAGGCTGGGATTTATCCATATCCACCGCCTGGGGGATCGATCCTCGCGAATCTCCACGGGCGGTGGACATGTATACATATATATAAATATATATATATATATATATATATATATGTATAAGACTGCATTGGCGCTGCGCGCCATGCACTTAGGTCCTTTAGAGTTTCGCAAAACTGGTTCTGCTAGAATCTTGACGGGGTGGGGACGAGGAACATGAAGAGGATCAGGAGGAGGAGGGGGAGGAGGAGGAAGAGGAGGAGGAGAAGCAGAAGGAGCGAAACATACGATGAGGAGGCTGAGAGGAGAAGGTGCAGAGAGTATACAGAGAAGGAGGAGGAACAGGAGGATAACGGGAAAGAGAAGGAGGGAGACGGGGAGAAGAAGGATGGATGAAAAGAAATATTGGAAGGCTTCTGGGGGTACCATTGAAGCTCAGTGTTGGGAGCCCTGGTGTTATGTAGCGTTGTGGGGCCTCTGGGGAGTCTTCTTGGGGCCCTTTTGGATCCCTTTTTGGGCCCTGTTGGGGTTCTCTTGGGTCGTCTCGGGGCTCTTTTGGGCCGTCTTGGGGCGTCTTGGAGGCCTTTGGCCGTCGTGGGGCTCTCCTGGCGGCGTCTTGGGGCCCTCTTGGGTGCCTCTTTGGGCGCTCTTGGGGCTCTCTTGGGCCCGTCTTGGAGCCCTCTTGGGCTGTCTTGGGACTCTCTTGGGTCGTTTTCGGGCTCTTTGGGGGGCCTCTTGGGCTATCTTGGGGCGATCTTTGGAGCCTCTTGGGCCGGTTCGGGCTGATGCTGGCCCTAAAAAGGGAGAACCATAAAAAACCTTTGAAAATCATACAAACAAAAATCAATGACATGTCCCTCTCGGGGCCTTCTTGGGAAGCCTCTTGGAGGCCTCTTGGGGCGTCTCGGGGCCCCCTTGGACGGTCTTGGGCGGTCTTGGGGTCGCTTGGAGCGCTCTTGGGCTGTCTTGGAGCGCTCGTGGACCCCTCTTGGGAGTATCTCGGGCCGTCTGGGGCGCCTCTGGGACCGCCCGAAAATCTCGGAGAAGGCCGAAACTCGTTTTTTTTGGGGGGGGGGGGCTCCGTCCGGGGTCCGTCCGGGGTCCCCGGCCTTATAAAAGTATAGGCATAGGAATCTATATATGTATGCATGCATGCATGCATGCATGCATGCATGCATGCATGTATGTATGTATGTATGTATGTATGTATGTGCATATGTACATATGTATGTCTGTATGTCTGTATGTATGTATGTCTGTATGTCTGCATGTCTGTATGTCTGTATGTCTGTCTGTCTGTCTGTCTGTCTGTATGTATGTGTGCATGTATGTCTGTATGCCTGTATGTCTGTATGTCTGTATGTCTGTATGTCTGTATGTCTTTATGTATGTATGTATGTATGTATGTATGTATGTATATATGTATGTATGTATGTATGTATGTATGTATGTATATATGGAGATATGTATGTATGTATGTATGCATGTACGTATGTATGCATGTATGTATGTCTGTCTGTCTGTCTGTCTGTCTGTATGTATGTATGTATGTATGTATGTATGTGTGTATGCATGTACATGCACATATATACATATATACACATATACATATACATATACATATACATATACGTATGCATGTATGTATGTATGTATGTATGTATGTATGTATGTATGCATGCATGCATGAATGCATGCATGCATGTATGTATGTATGTATGTATGTATGTATGTATGTATGTATGTATGTATGGATGTATTGATGTATGTATGTGTGTACGCATGTATGTATGTACACATATATATATATATATACATATGCATAATATATATATATATATATATATATATATATATATATATATTCGGCCCCCCCGGGGGCCAAACTACACCCATATCCACCGCCCGATGGGGCAACAGGACGTCGGTTGCCACGTGGTGGATCTGGTGATGGGCCTGCTTTCCACTACCACCAGAAGTTGGAGGGGGGAAGGAGGTGGAGGAAGAAGAGAAGGAAGAAGAGGAGGTTGAGGAGGAGAACCCCCTCCCGCTCCTCCTTCTGGTGGCGGCGGTGGAAAGCAGGCCCACCGTGTGGAGAAACCACCGCCCCGCTGATCCTCGCGGTGTCAGAAGCCGGTGCCGAGGGCGGCGGGGCGCGCACCCGTCGCGCCCTCGGCCGGGAGGGGTCCCGGCCGCGAGGCCCTGGGCTCCTGGGTCGTGCGTGCTCCTCTGCGGGAGGAGTGTTCGAGAATTCGAAGGCCTAGAGGATGACACCAACACCAGCATCGGCGGTGTGCCTCCACCGAGGGAAGAAGATCCCGATCTCGGTAATGGTGGTAATTTTTTGGCTTCCAAGGTGACTGAGATATCACCACCAACACCGAAATCTAGGATCATCTTCTCCCTGTGGAGGCAACACCCTGTGTTGGTGTTGGTGCCCATTTTCAGGCCTCCAAAAGAATAGTGAAAACATCGGAGGTGGACATAACCCCCACCCAGACGCGTCGCTTAGTGAATTGCAAGTTTTCGGTTCTCGAGAGGGCGCCGTGGCCGTCATTCTCCAGGCTTGCGCCCGCCCGATGTGGGCCCGAGGCCGTTTTCACCGAACCACGTTTTGCGAAAGGGGGTTCTGTCCATCCCCGGAGGAATAGCCTCGTGCCGATTTGTCATGCTCGTTTGCCTATGTTTGCAACTGTTTGATCATTGCCCTATCCTTCTCTCCAACGTACTCAAAAACAGGGTTGTCGCTCCAGCGCTGTCGCACTCCGCGCTTCGACCACACGCAAGAGGGACCTTTCGCCGGAGCGACCTCTGGTGCGGGCTCACCGGGGCCCCCCCGATCGCCGAGCGCGGCGCGACAGTGGCTGCCTGGGCTTTGGAGCTGGCCACCTCGCGCACCCTGAAGGCCGCGCGCTACAGTCGGGGCCCTGAAGAAGGAGCGCTTTTCGTTGGGGAGGGGCTCGGTGCTCCTTGATTGCTTTACGGTTTGCCTCGGGGTTCCGTGGGGTTGCTGTGTGGGAAATCGAAGCTCAACTTATGGAAAAGAGGGGCCTCGCTCCTGATTTAGGGTTCCTTGGGTCGACGCCCCGACTGTACAGGTCACTCCTGCCCATAGTAGGGTGACGAGATCTATACGTATCCTCTGCTCCCAGGCCAGGCCCATCCTGAACCCAGCAGCTGTGTATACGCCCTCCTGGCCAAGCCAGGGGAGCGTGGCGTATAAACCGCTGGCGGGTTCAGGATGGGCGTGGCCTGGGAGCAGAGGATACGTATAGATCTCGTCGCCCTACCATAGGGTCCCTCCTGCGTGCCTCCGAGTGCTGCCGCTCCGCCCGGCGCCCCCCCCCCCGCGCCCCCGTGCGGCCGCCGCCCCGCACGGCCTCCCCGTGCGGCCCGCGAGCGCCGTGGCCCCCCCCCGGGGGGGGGATGCTCGGCCTGCCCGACGCGCGCGGCCACCGCGCCGGCTACTCCGCCGTCGCCGGCAACGAGGACCTCTCCGCCAGGGGGGGGGGGCTCGACGAGGCGTGAGAGCGACCTTTCGCCGGAGTGGCCTTCGGTGCGGGCGCGGATGGGTCCCCAGGATGGCTGCAAGCGGAGCAGTGGCAGCTGCTTGCGCGCCCAGGCTTGGTCCCCCCGCGGCGCCCAAAAAGTCGCGCACCAAAGGTCACTCTTACCCAGGGTCACTCTTGCCCATAGCCGAGGGGGCGCCCGCGCACCGCCACCGTTCAGGAGGCGAAAGCCCACCCCCAGTCCCGACGCCTATCCCCGAGCCGGCGCTCCAAGGGTGGACGCCGAAAGACCACCCCCACCTGGATCGCGTGGGTTCGGGGATGGGCTCGGGACCCCCTGGATCGCGGGTTCGGGGATGGGCTCGGGACTGGGGGTGGGGGTGGCTTTTCGCCTTCCCAACCGTGCCCGGCCGTCCTGCCCCCCCATCGGACACCGCGTGCAGACGCGCCTGTGGCCCCGGCCAGGAGGGCCTGTGCTCCGCGCCAGGGCCCGGGATGGCCCTGGTCTTAAGTCGGGCATGTCTCTCTGCAGGAGGAATACTCAAGAATAGTGAAACATAGTCCCGTGACGGTTCTTTATGATCGTTTGACAATTTTTGCACTTGTTTGTTAATTGTTTTATTTTGCTTCCAAAATCCGCCTGCAGGAGGACATGCCCGACCTAACCCTGGTTGGACGGGGCTAGGACGAGGATAAATCCGTTCCAGAGCGATCGGGGTCGCTCTCAGAGAGTTTCGGCACGCTCTGAGAAGGCCACGGTGCCCGAGGCATCTTCCAGAGCCGCCGGATCCAGGAGATTCTTGATGTATCCTCACTCGAACTTGTCCTCGTCCTGGCTTCGTCTTACCTGTGGGCCTCAGGACGGCAGCAGGCACCGGGGTGGTGTGCAGGTCGCCCCCCTGCGTGGAGGACTGCTGCGGCGCGCCCCTCTGCGCCCCCAGCGCCGACGGCGGCGGCGAGGCCTGCTGCGCTGTCGCGTGCGGCGGCGGCGGCGGTGCGTACGACGACTCCGCCGCGGACTGCGACGCGTGCGGCTGCGCCGACCGGGGCACCACGGTCCTGAGCTACGTGGGGCCGGGGGGCGAGTACGCCGAGGATCCGGAGGAGAAGAATCACGCAGACACAGTGAATCGTCGAGCCCCAGGAAAAGATGGGAAGATATGGGAAGTGGGGGGGGAGACGAACGCCCCGAGAACATAGGGGAACGCCTGGGGCATCCGTTAAATTAATTTGTGTGCATCTCTCTCTGTGTGTGTCCTGGGGCCCCTCCCGAGGATGCGGCGGGCAGGAGTCGAGGCCACGCCGCGGAGCACCCCGCGCGTTCGCTCTCAGGGGGGCCGCGCGCGGATCCCTCGGGTCGGCGCTGGGGCCCCCCCGGGGCTTCCTCTCCCCGAGGCCCTTTGGTGGCGCCTCCCGGTGCCGCCCGCGGCGCGCTCTCCGTGCGCAGTGGAGCTCCTCCTCCTCCTCCTTCTCCTCCCTCCCGCCCGCCCGCCCGCCCGCCCTCCCTACCTCCCTCCCTCTCTCCCTCCCTCCCACCCTCCCTCCCTTCCTCCCTCCCTCCCTTCCATGGGAGGGTGGCGCTCGATCGCCAGAAGCTTGAGGGTGCAGCAGGTGTAGGTGTGGCTGACGAACTCATTCCGACGCTGGGCCTCCCTCCCTCCCTCCCTCCCGGGACATGGGGGGGGCGTCCAGCGGCCGACCCGAGGAGCCCGCCCGGACCTCCGGATGTTGAAAGTGCTGTTCTGTGGTCTTCCGAGGCAGGATCACACGCGCACGCTCGTGGGCTTGGTGCAAGGCAGACGGCTTCCTTGGAGTGCCAGAGAGAAGCGGCACACCAGCGCGGCAAGCGAAGCTCGGACGCCGGCAGAAGAGGCATGCTCTTCGGAGTTCCTTGCTGTCGGAGCTGGACAGACCTCCTACCCTGACACGTCGATTAAGGAATTGGCCGTTTTCGGTTCGCGAGAGGGCGTCGCGGCCGTCATTTTTGCGGGTTCGGGTCTGTCGGTTTCGGTCCTAGGCCGTCTTTCTTAAGGGGAGGTTTACTAAAGGGAGGTTTGTCCACCGCCGATACTGGTCCCTTTCGTCAGCAGGTTGAGATCTATGATCACTTCCTTCTGGTTTGGCATCCGTATGTGGCTGGACTCTGCCGCTGGCCCCGTCTCGGACTGCTTGCACGGCTGCGGCTGCCTTGTTCGGTTGTGCTAGTTTGTTCGCTGATCGGTTGGCTGGCTGGCCACTCGGCGGATCGGCCTGTCGTCCAAGTAGATGGCTGTCACTTGGTTCTGGCCTGGTTGTTGGCTGGCTAGCTGCGGCCCTCGATCATCGAAGTGGTCTGTCCTTTTTTTGGGGGGCCTGGTCCCAGGCGCAAACTGCCTCTCGGACGCCTGCCTGCTTCCTGCTCCTGCCTTCGCGCTCCCCCTGGGGCTAGAGGCCCCCCTCCGTGCAGGCTGGGCTCCGTGCGAGCGCGGAGCGTGTGTGTATGTGTGTGTGTGTGTGTGTCTTTCTTGGGATGCAACTCCTGGGAGGTCAAGCTCTGATTTTGCACTGGTCCGAAGTCCGGCTGAACCTGGCCTAATCCCGCTTGATCCCGCTTGATCCCGCTCAAGCCCGCTGAATCCGGCTTACTCCTGCTTGATCCGAGGCCCTTTCCTACGTCCTCCCAAATAGGACTTCTGCCTCCCTCATCTTTCCGATGGAAGCCTCCCAGTCGTTGCCTCCTAATCTTCCTGGCCCCCGCAGGAGACCACGTACCGGTACGTCGGCGGCGGCGCCGGGCAGTTCGGCGTGCTGCGCGTCCCGGGCGCGGGCCCGAGCTGCTGCTGCGTGCTGACGGCCCCCCTCCTGCTGCTGCTGCTGGCCGCGTGCCTGCTCCTGCTCGCGCCGCGGGCGGCCACCTCCACCACGACGGCGCCGCCCGTGGCCGTCACCTCCCGGGCGCCGCCGGCGATGCCGCCGACGACCGCCACGCCGCCGATCGAGTGCGGCGAGGGCGAGGAGGCGCAGTGGACCGAGCGGAAGAGGGAGTGGTGCTGCGACCGGGAGGGCAAGGGCTGCCCCGAGCCCGAGGCGCCCGCTCCTGGGGACTCCTGCAGAGCTGCAGAGCTGTGGCGGCTGGTGCTTCCTTCCCTTGCTCCTCCCCCTGCTCCCTTCCCTCCCCCTCCCCCTCGTTCGTCGGGGGCGCCGAGAGTGGGGGATTTGCTCATGGGGAGGAGGTGGACTGCTCATGGGGATTTTCTCTCCAAAAAGGCTTGCCCTATAGGGATTCGAACTCAAACCCTACTGATTGGTCCGTTGCCCCCCCCAATTCCTATGCCCCCCCCTAAGTCCTATGGCTATGGCTATGCCTATGCCTCCCCCTAACTCCAATGGCCCTCCCCCTTATTTCTAACGGCCACCCCCAGCTATTTCCAATGGCGAGTCCTAAGGATTCCTATTGATTCCTATGAGTCGCTTGCTCTTGCTTGCTCTTGCGTACTCTCGCTCGATTACTCTTGTGGCTTGCTCTCTCTTGCTTGCTCTTGCTTGCCCTTGCTTGCTTGCACTTTATCGCTGGCTCTTGCTTGCTTGTTATTGCTCGCTTGCGCTTGCTTGCTTCCTCTTGCTTGCTTGCGCTTGCTTGATTTTGCTCCTCCCATCCTCCTCCCGTCCTGCTCCCGTCCTCCTTTCGTCCTCCTCCCATCCTCCTCTCGTCCTCCTCCTGTCCTCCTATCTATTTGAAGTCAACGCTGGCTGATATGCTCGCGGGGATTTGCTCACGAGGATTTGCTTCGCCCCCCCCGTCGCTCATTCATTGTCGATTGAGGCTTGGATGGTGAGGAGGTGGAGGGGGAGGGGGACTGGGGAAGGGGAGGGGCAGGAAGAGATGGGGGAGGATGAGAAGACGGAGCAGCGAGAAGGAGGAGCGGGAGAACCCCTTAGTCTGTGAGCCCCCTACGCCTCACCGAATCACCCAAACACCATCGACTCTCTCTGCCTTGCTGGATGTCTCTAGAAGTCTCTAGAGGAGCCCCCCGCATGTGAAGAGGGGATGAGGAGGAGCACGAGGAGGGGGGGGAAGAAGAGGATGAGGAGGGACCAGTGTAAACCCAAGAGTCATCAATGATGTTAGAATCAACCCTACCTCCAAGCTCCCTCTTCATGGGCCTCTACAGCGGCTCAATGCCACTGAGGGAACTGCCTGGTTAGAAAACAACCGTTTGAAGACCCTGAAGCATGCCGAAGCAATGTTCTCGGGATTCCAACGCCACGGATCGGCCTGACTGATGCGTCTTGACGATCCTGGATCGTGCCAGAAAGCCATTCCTGGGAAGTCAACACCGCGAATCAACGTACTTGTTGCACACTCATAATCCTGAATCCTTCCAGAATTCCATTTCTTGTATTACGTTGATCATGGGAACCCGTGAAGCTCTTGCAAGTTAAACAATGAATGCGCGCGGCGCTAAGGCGAGAAAACCACCCGCCCTCTATCCGTGAATCTCTTGCAAGGTTTCAAAAATAATGTGCGCGTCGCTAAGACGAGAGCCAAACTTTGAAAACGACCCGCCCTATACCGTGAAACTCTTGCAACTTCTACAATGTGCGGGGCGCTAAAGCGAAAGCCACATTTTGAAAACGACCCGCCCTCAACCCGTGAATCTCTTGCAGTGTTTTAGAACGAAAATGCCCTGCGCTGAGGCGAGGGCCACATTTTGGAAACCACCCGCCCTCAATCCGCTAAACTCTTGCAACTTTTTAGCACGAGTGTACGTGGCGCTAAGGCGAAGGCTACATTTTGAAAACGACCTGCCCTCAATCCGTGGAGCGCTTGCATTTTTGTTGAACGGATGTGCGCGGCGCTCGGGCTACCACCACACTTGAAAACCACCCGCCCTCCACCTGTGAAGCGGTTGCTGAGGTTTCAGCTCCAGGGTCATACGTGGTGGGGATGTCTGGGGAGGAACGCCCGGCCCGCACTGAAAACGGGCCTCGTGGTGCCACAGGGAGAAGTTACTTACAAGGAAAAAATGGAAGGAGGAGGAGAGGGGGCGGAGGCGGAGGCGGAGAAGGAGCTAACGGTAATATGGCATTGTGGCGACTGAACCCCGTTGGTGGGCCCAGCTCCCAGGAGCCCTCACCCTGTAGGGCACGGTGGCCCGATGCGAATGGCCTGGGGCGGTGGTCCAGCCCGCACCGAACGAGGCCGTTCTGGGCCAGGAGCCCGCAGTCGTCGCAGGAAGGCTGCAAGAGGGTCCCAAGAGGGCCCCCTGGGCGGTCACAGGACGGCCCACAAGGAACATCTAGGCCTCCTAGAGGGGGTCGGAGTAGATGGGGTCGAAGGATCGAGCCGCATCGCCGATGCATCGACGATGCGGCTCGATGTGGAGCCCGTGTTTCCCCACGCCGACGTCGCCGATGCATCGCCGATGGCGATGCGGCGCGATCCTTCGACCCCATCTACTCGGACCCCATCTAGGAGGCCTCTAGAAGATCAACAGCCTGGATCTTCATGTTGGAGCCTGCCACAGCAGCTGGCAGGCCTTCCGATGGCCCCAAGCGGCCCCGAGTCGGTCACAGGATGACATACAAGGCAGATCTGCAGAGTATCGTTGAGAGAAAGCCACTCCCCGACCATGGATTTCCTCCCCTTAGGATTTGCGAAGTGCGATTGGTGCAGCTGGACATTGCTGCGATTTATTGATCGGCTGGGCGTGAAGCACGCGCCCGAGTCCCACAGAGTCTTCAAGGTTGGTGAAGCAGACAGTATAGGTTACAGCTGTGAGCTATATGCATAATGATAATGGAACGGTATTCCAACTGGTAGGGTCTTGGTTATCTTATCGGCTACGCGGTCGGGACAGAGATTGACAAAATTGCCCCCCTCTGGAGGGGGAATTGGGAAGGTGACGAACGTAGCAAAGAAATGACACGAAGTTGAGTGCCACGCCAACCTTCCGACCGAGGACGGGCTGGCATCCCCTGGAGTATGCGTGCACGCGCCTGCGCAGAACGGTAGCGGATTGGCGGGCACGCCCAAACGTTGTTTTGTGAACGTGGTCGGAATTCTGCTTCCAGCTGCCACCGCAGATCCTTGAATGGGGGGAAATGTAAGCAATTCTAGACGCTTCGCGTATCCCCACCAGCCCGTCCAGAAACGACGCCCAGGCGAGTAGAGGGTCGTCCTGAGGGGCTTTTCGGCGTCTTGGGTGCCTCGGGGGGGCCTCTTTGGGCCGTTTGTGATCCTCTTGGGGGCCTCCTGGGGGCCTCTTGGGGCCATCTTGGGGCCATCTTGGGGCCTCTTGGTGCCTCCTGGGCGCTTCTTGGGGCCATCTTGGAGGAAATCGATCAAAGAAGAGGGGAGCTTTAATTAGCGCTGCCCCCTCAGAAGGCCAAAATGGGCCAAAACCTTAGTAACATCAATGATTTTGGCTTCAAAGAAGAGGGGAGCTTTAATTAGCGCTGCCCCTCAGAAGGCCAAAATGGGGCCAAAACCTTAGTAAAATCAATGATTTTGGCTTCAAAGAAGAGGGGAGCTTTAATTAGCCCTGCCCCTTCAGAAGGCCAAAATGGGGCCAAAACCATAGTACAATCAATGATTTTGGCTTCCTCGGCGAGGCCGTTTTGGACGCTCTGACCGCTCCCCGCCCCTCCTGTCCAGGTCAGTGGGGAGGGGGTAGGGGGAGGGGTAAACCCCTCCCCAAAGGGGAAGAGGGAGGGGTGGAAGAGGAAACGCTCAACCACCGACGCCCAGAGGGCTGGTGGGATTCCGCCGGCAGCGATGGAGGGTTCAGGAGGGGGAGAAGGTCTTGAGTACCCCCAGCGCAAAAAAAAGAGGAGGAGGAAGAGGAGGAGGAGGAGGAGGAAGGAGAAGAGGACGAAGAGGAGAAAGAGGAGGAGGAGGAGGAGGAGGAGGAGGAGGAGGAGGAGGAGGAGGAGGTCGAGGCCGAGGCCGTGACCGAGGATGGAGGATGGAAGAGGAGGAGGAGGAGGAAGAGAAAGAGGAGGAGGGAGAGGATTGGAAGAGGAAGAAGAAGAAGGGAAGGAAGAGGAGGAGGAGGAGGAGGAGGAGGAGGAGGAGGAGGAGGAGGAGGAGGAGGGCGAGGCCGATGGAGGATGGAGGATGGAGGATGAGGAGCGGAGGCGGTGGAGCGGTCGGAGGCAGGCAGGCGCAGGCGCCCGCGCCCTCCTGCAGAGGCCTCCTCCCGACCGCCGGTGCCGCCCGCGCTGCCGGCCGAGACCACGACGCCGTGCCCGATCGACTGCGGAGCGGGGTGCCGCCGTTCAAGCAGTGGTGAAGCGTCCCGGCGTGCCTGAAGCCCTACCAAACAATGTTCTCTAAGAACCTTTGGTGGCTCCCACGACCTGTTCTTGGAGCACTTCTGGTTGGGGCCGTCCTGTCTTATCACGTCGGGCTCATGTTCTAAGAGCATTGTTTTTGTTCGCAGAACATTTTTGGGTTCGAAGAACATGTCGCGGTAGGACTATAGGAATGCTGGGACGTCGGTCCCTGCTCAAGCCGTGGGGATTCGAGTAGAATCGGCGTCACCCCAATGTACTCATACTATCTGATATGTGGCGTCGCCTCCCAGGGGCGACGCGTGCACCGAGAAGTCTTCTTGCATATGCGTCGCGGCGGGCGCTTTCTGGCCGCGGCGCCTGCAAGGGGGACACATTGTACTAGTATATCTCTGTGCGTCCCATAGAAGATCGAGGGGATCGACTACATATTGTTTCGGGGAAAGGTAAGGCTCGAGTGCGCTGGAGCCCGGGTTCGCCGACGCTTTTCGAAGAGCGCGTCTTTGGTTTTGACGGTCCAGTTCTCGTGGGATGTTTGAAGCGGGAGCTCGAGTCAAATTTCAGACAGGGTCTCGTCATTTTCTTGATGGCCCCGTCAGGCCAACCCGAGTGCCCCGAACCCGAGTCCTACGACTCCCCGATTGATGTACCCCAATTTACTTCCGGAATATACAAGAAACGCGTATACTGCTCGTAGAGGATGCTCGTAGATCTATGAACATTCTATGCATGTGTCATGGCTTCGGCGAAACAAGCGATTTGTTTGGTAAGTCAGTTCTGTAGTCGATCCCCTACTCGAGGGATGGTGGTGGACAACATCCATATCCTCATGGGGGAAGACCCCCAAGTTCATATCCTCACGTCTGTCGTCGTGTTCGGAATCCGGTGGCCGTCTTCGGGGCCTCGGGGCGGTCCCATGCCGATGCGGAGTGAAACGCCTGCCAGGATGGACTTTTAGGGAGGGAGGGTGCATCCTTAGGGGTACAAGAAGTGACACAAACATAAAAACTCGGAGGTCCGCGCGGATTTCTCGGATCGGCGCTGGGGCCCCCCGGCGGAGCCTCCGGCGCCGATCCGAGAAATCCGCGCGGATCTCCGAGTTTTTTTTTTTTTTTTTTTGTTTTTTTTAATGTTTTTGTCACTTTTTGTTCCCCTAATCCTGGGGAGGGCACCCCTTGGAGCTGTCCTGCGTGCTTGCCCCGGCCGACGGCGGGCCTCTCGTGCTGCTCGCGAGGGCGGCTCCTCCGGCCCGGGGGCCGGCCGGAGCGGGGGTTCTGCCTCGCCGGCGGGGGCTGGCAGGAGCCCCGTGCTGGGTATCGCTCGGACGTGTGCGTTTTTTCCTCGGCGAGGACCATCGAGGAGCATCCTTAAAAAATTTGGCGAAGAAGCCACGCGCGAAACCGACAACAAAACACGAGGAGTGGACGTCCGAGCGATGCCCGGCCGTGGGACTGGCGGCTGCAGCCGAGGTCGATCCGTAGGCCGAGCCTCAGGAGGGGAAAAACACACACGGGCACAATTCATCGTCGATTCCCAAGGAAATCTGGGAAAATATGGGGACGGGGGGGGAAGCCAAAAACCCAGAACATATGGGAAAGCATGGGGAATCTTTTATTTGTGTGTATTTTTTTGTGTGTCCCAGGGCCCCTTCAGAGCCTGCCAAACCAAGAGTACCCTCGTGCCCCGTGTGTGACCCATGCCTTTGCACTCCTGTGACAACGTGGCCCTCGGAAGGGTCCTGTATTCTCCCGCGTGTCCTTTCCAATGAACCTCGACTGTATGCCCTGGCGAGATGCCGGCATTGCTGGATGCACGCTCGGGATCGGTTTCCGCCGCCTCGGAATAGCGCCTCAGGATCTCGGCCTCTCGAGGATCAGTGGAGGCGAAGATGCCGACACCGCTACCCTTCGCCCCGATTTCCTCTTTTGGGGGCCTCCTGGGAGGCACTCGTCGCCACAGCTGGATTCGTCTCGAAATTCTCGTCAGAACGCACCCGGGGAGGCCCCTTGATCGATGGATGGATGTAGTTATGCTCGTTGGTCAGGCGACAGGTTTTTGGGACATTTTCCGCTTGGTGCAGGCTTGGCTTTTTGTGTGTTCTTTTTCTGCCCACCGCCGAGGTACAATGACCTGGATCCCCTGCAGTGGGTGCACGGGTGGTCTGCCGCCAAGAAGGTCTATCTTGGAAGATTGAATCATTCCGCCGCCCTCCAAAAAAAATAATTAGTGTTGATGATGCCAATCCTGGGGCTCTCCTGGAGCCCTCTTGAGCGTATGGGGAGCCTCTTAGGCCAGCTGAAGCCACTTGAAGCTGTTTTGGCCCTCTTGGAAACCTTCGTGTTTTGGAGGCCAGCTTGGCCGTCTTGGAGGTCAGCTAGGGGTCATCCTAAGCGGGGCTGCAGTTGGGCGACTGATTTTCTAGGTCGCACAATTAACTGGCTGGACGTGCCGTCACCCACCAGGAACCTTTTCGACGGGTCAATCGGTTCATCTTCGTCCAGCACGTCGTGTACCCTTGTGGCAAGCAACAGGTGGAAAGGGATCTGGTGGCTGGGGCCCATGCCGCAACCGTGCCCTGGGAGTACACGAGAAGCTCCTGGGGCCCTCCGAGGGCCCATCGGGGGCCCCTGGAAGGCCTCCCGGGGAGGTGGTCTCCTGGGACTCCTGCGGGAGCCCTGTGGGCCTCTCTGGGGGCCCCGCCTGCCGTCTCGGGCGCCACCTCGCCGCCCTGGCGGGGGGCCTCTGGGAGACCTCCCGGGGAGGTGGTCTCCTGGGGCTCCTGCGGGAGCCCCGTGGGCCTCTCTGCTCTCTGGGGGCCCCGCCTGCCGTCTCGGGCGCCACCTCGCCGCCCTGGCTGCACGGGGCTGCCGTCCGCGGGGGGCGCGCACGGCGCGCGGCGCGCCGGCCCGCCCCGCCTCGCCCCGCTGCAGGGGCCGCGGACTGCTGCAAGGTGCACGGCCGGGGCTGCCCGTCCGAGCTGCCGCCGCCGTCCGGTCCCGGGGGGGGGTGGGGGGGGCAACGACGCAGGGCGTGCCTGCCCACCGCCCTCCCTGGAGGAGGAGGGGAGGGGGGAGGGAAGAGGGGAGGGGAGGGCCAGGGGCGGGGGTCTGGGGGCCAGGGGTGACGGTCGGAGCGAGGGGAGAGGAGGAGAGGGGACAAGAGGGAAGGAGGAGGAGGGAGGAGGAGGAGGAGGAGGAAGGAGGAGGAGGAGGAGGAGGAGGAGGAGGAGGAGGAGGAGGAGGAGGAGGAGAAGGAGGAGGAGGAGGAGCAGGAGGAGGAGGAGAGGAGGAGCAGGAGGAGGAGGAGGAGCTGGGGAGGAGGAGACGGAGGAGGAGGAGGAGAAGGGCAGGATAAGCAGGAGGAGCAGATGGAGGAGGACAGGAGGAGGAGAGGAGGAGGAGGAGGAGGAGGAGGAGGAGGAGGGAGGAGGAGGAGGAGCAGGATGAGCAGGAGGAGCAGGAGGAGGAGGAGGAGGAACATGAGGAGGAGGAGGAGGAGGAGGAGGAGGAGGAGGAGGAGGAGGAGGAGGAGGAGGAGGAGGATGAGGACGGCCTCTTTTGCCTCCCCCAGGCCTGCCTCCCTCGGGTGTCCCGCCGGAGCCGGAGAAGAGGGACTACGATTGCGACGCCGGCTACCACGATTGCATGCGCTGCCTGGAGGAGCGGCTCCTCGCTCCTTTCCGCCCAATGCTCTCCTCCCTCTTGGACCCCCTCCCTTCTCCCTCCTCCCTCGCTCTCTTCCTTCCCCCCTTTCCCTCGTCCACCGTTCCCCTCCTCGCCCTCCTCGCCGTCCTCCACCTTGCCCTTCTCTAGCTCGTTCTCCTCTCTTTTTCTGAGCCCGAAGGTATCCTGGTCTCCGAAGAAGATCAGATGGTGCTGCGAGCACCGCCACAAGGGCTGCAGGGGCGAGGCGGCTGCGTGAGCCCTGGGAGGCAGTGTGGCCCGTCGCCCGAGGCGGGGCGATGGGTGTCTCCGTGTGGTCAACATCAACAGCAGGTTCGCGACTCGGCGGGGACGTCGGCGCGCGCGTTCGAGTGTGAACGCCCTCCAGGGGCTCGCCTAGAGAACATAACCCACGCCGCGATATCCATACACAAAAATGGGGTCGAGAGCCTCTGGGGACATCCGAGGAAGCCATCGTTCATGGTTGTACGATTCTCGCGGTGTCAGAAACCATAGCCACGTCGTCATGGCGGGAATCTTCTGTATGTTGTTTGTTTGTTTGTTTGTTGCTCTGGAGCTTGCTGGAAGGCAGGAATAGAACGTACTCGTCGCGCTAGCATTTCCGACCGTCTGCGTTACTCATTGACGGGGCGCTGGAATTGTGCGTCGGCGAATGTTGGCACTAACGTGGCATCGTGGCATATCTTGGCCCAATAGCCTGGCATACCATTGGTGCTCCCCTGCAAGACCGCATGGAGAGCAGCACCAATTGGCTACGGTGTTCTCTTGTACTACGCAGGCAAAGGCACTGCTGCATTTCCCATGTATAGCATTGGGCATCCTTTGCTCTTCACTGCCTGTGTTAGGTTAACGTATCATGTTATCCAGTTGCGCTGCTGCGCCTATCCGCTACTGTACTGCGCGGGGCAGGAGTGCGGCTCGGGGCGGTGGTATGAAGGGGTTCAGGGGGGGGGGACTGGGGGGCGTGTCCGCGACCCCTCCCCCGTTACGATGTTTTTGCTTTGGGCCTCGTTTGTCGTGTGTTGTGCCAAGGGTGCAGGGCTCGGAGCAATTCGCCGTCACGTGTTGAGCTCGATGTGTCAGGGGGGACTTGATTTTTTTACCTTGTGAAGAGCGAAACCAATGAGTAAGCAAGCTTCCCCGACACTTTCTCTTCGCGACGTTGCACTAATAGCCGCGTCGTGAGCTGACGTGACGTGCAGGCTAAATCTCATTCGAACCTATGCCGAACGAGCTCCATCTGCTGCAGTGATATTTGGGGTTCCAACACACACATGCACCTGCACCGTGCGCTGCATAGCGCCATAGCGGATGATTATATCAACGTGTGGGGGCCATATTCCCAGATTACAGAGTTGGCCATGACCCTTGAGTTTCGAATTGCTTTGCGATGCATCACGAAGAAACAGTCAGCGGCCAGCCGCCGGCGATGAGGATAAGCAGCATGCTGGGAAAGCGCAGTATAGGATGAGGGAGAGAGGGAGGAGGGGGAGGAGAAGACAGGGGGAGGGGCGGCCCGGGGGAAAACGGGGGAAAGAGGGAGGCGGTGAGGGAGGAGGAGGGATGACGAAATTGCTGTTGTTGGCAATGATGATGGCGACGATGATGATGATGATGATGATGATGATGATGATGATGATGATGATGATGATGATGATGATGATGATGATGATGATGATGCTGATGATGATGAAACTGGTGATGGTGTTGGTGATGCTGTTGTTGATGATGATGATGCTGATGATGATGATGGTGATGATTCTGATGATGATGTGGATGATGCTGATGATGATTGTGATAACGATGTTGCGGATGATGAGGAGGAGAGGTGACGATGATTGTGCTGGTGATGATGAGGATGATGTTGCTGATGCTGATTATGATGATGATGACGATGCTGATAACACTATTGAGAACGACGATGATTCCGATGACGAGTATGATGATACTGATGATGACGACCACGGGAGAGACGATTATGATGTCGATGATGACGATGCTGCTGATGTTGTTGATGATGGTGATGATCACGACCACGATGATGATGACCATGTTGATGATGATGACGACGATTCTGAGGATGTTCATGCTGATCTTTATGATAATGGTGATACTGCTGATGCTGATTCTGATGATGATGCTGATGATGATGCTGATGATGGTGATTTTGATGATGACGACGATGGTGATACTGATGGTGATGATGATGCCTTCGCTGATATTGTTGTTGAGAATGATGATTGTGGTGTTGTTGTGATGATGATCGTGGTATGGTGATGATATTGATGATTGTTATGATTACGATGATGCTGATGATGGCGATGCTGATGCTGATACTGATGATATTGATTCTGATGATGTTGTTGATTATGGTGATGCTGATGTCGACGATTATTATCATGATGCTATTGACAACGATATTGATATTGATGATGATGATGATGCTGGTCATGACGAGGACGATTATGCTGATGGTGGCGATGATGACGATGCTGATGCTGATGCTGATGCTGGTGATTATGATTATGATGATGCTGATGATGGTGATGGTGATGACAATGATGATGCTGCTGATTATGATGATGATGATGCTGATGATGATGATGATGATGATGATGATGATGATGATGATGATGATGATGGTGTTGATGATGAGGTGGTGGTGACGACGATGAGGAGGAGGAGGCGGAGGAGGACAAGGAGGAGATGACAATTATGACCCCTGCGCTGGCGCTCCTCACCACTCGCGAGGGGCCTGCCCTTTCGTGCGCTTGGCCCGCCAATTGCGGCGGCAGCGCGTGGGCAGGGGTCATTCCTTGCTGCTGACCAAGAGGTCAACGTTGAGCCACGCGCAAAAGGGAACATATCCCTATGATTTGCATCGCCTCATTCGATGCCGATCTTAAAGGTTCACTCAGCTTTCGAGGGCGCATCCCTAAGTTTGAGAGGCTGGCCGCGCGCAGAAGGGGGTAGGGGGGGGGGAAGGTGTCTCAGAAGCATCCTGCTTCTCATGAGGCGCGGGCCTTGTCTGTAGGTGTAGGGCCAGCGCCTTCTAAGACGCAGCCTTCCCCGCCCCCCTACCCCCTTGTGCGCGCCGCCAAAACGTTGAGCAACGTCGTTGACCACTTCGACCTCACAAGGTTGATCAACAGGTGCTACCTCGACCCAGTCACAGTTGATCCACCGCGGGAACGCCCTGATTAGAGAACACCGTGTAGAACATATAACAGTCCGAGATGCTGCGACTCCGCCTCGCCCCCCATACAACGAGCCCAGCGCCCACAATTCTGCTACTAGGGCTACATGTGGTCTGGTGGTCGGATTTTTCATCCTTTACCACTCTGAAAGGTAGCGAATAAGATTGGACGATTGGACTACGCGTTGTGCATTACAACCTGCACTACATAGTATTCGTGCCCGTATTATGTTCTCCTTTCTAAAAGAATAATCGACTCTACCCCCCCCCTGGAGTTAACGATCCCCCTTGTGGTATTGTGATTTCATTTTTTCTACACATGTCCATCCTAAATGTGAATTCGTATTGTGCCAGCCAAGCCGGTCTCACTACCCCCCCGCCATCCTCTGCAAACAATTCTATGCGCGCACTCTCGTTTATAAAAAATCATAAGTTTTCAAGAATCCCTTGCAACAAATGGGACGAAGTGCACACGCGCGCGTCGTCGCGCGCGCATGCCGAAATCCCTCAAGAACCTTCGGTTTCGGAAGGATGTCAAAATCGAGTGGCCAAAACACATACAACAACACATGTGTTCGCAACACTTTTTTTATTACAAAAGCGTGCGCGCGCTCTTGCGAAATCTGAAGAAAACCATAGGCTTTTCAATACTTTCAGAAATACTTCCAAACGGGCTTCGCGCGCGCATAGCGAAATCTTTCGAACGCCCTTGTGCGCGTGCCTTCGCGAGAATCCTCTGCAAAACATTGGACTAAGTGCAGACGCGCGCGTCGTCACGCGCGCATGCCGAAATCCTCCAAAAACTGTCGGTTTCGGAAGGATGTCAAACTCGTGTGTCCAATATATATATATATATACATATATATACAAACACAAGGTTTCGCAACACGGACTTCAACAAAAGCGTGTGCGCGCGCTCTTGCGTTGTCGTCGTCGTCGTCGTCGCCGTCCTCCCTCCTCCCTCGTCGTCGTCGTCGTCGCCGTCGTCGTCCTCTGTCTTTCCTCGTCGTCGTCGTCGTCGTCGTCGTCGTCGTCTTGGCGTCGTCGTCGTTTCCGTCGTCGTTGTCGCCGTGGTCGTCCTTCCTCCCTCGTCGTCTTCGTCGGCGTTTCGTCGTTGTCCCTCCTTTTTGGTCGCCGTCGTCGTCGTCGTCTTCCTCCTTCCTCGTCGTTGTCGCCGTCGCCGTCGTCGTCCTCCCTCCTCCCTCGTCGTCGTCGTCGTCTTCGTTGGCGACGTCGTCGTCGTTTTCGTCGTCGTCGTCGTCTCCGACGTCGTCGTCGTCGGCGGCGGCGGCGCCGTCGTCGTCGTCGGCGTTGTCATCGTCGTCGTCGTCGTCGTCGTCGTCGTCGTCAGCGTCGGCGTCGTCGTCGTCGGTGTCGTCGTCGTCGTCGTCGTCGTCGTCGAAGTCGTTGGAGACGTCGTCGGTGTCGTCGTAGTCGTTGTCGGCGGCGGCGTCGTCGTCGTCGTCGTCGTTGTCGCTGTCGTCGTCGGCGTCGGTGTCGTTGCCAAGTGGCATTTGGTACCCACCGTGACGGTCTTAAAAGGTCTTGCGACCAAGTTGCGGGTGGGAGGGTGGAATGTTTGCACGAGCAATGGAGAGGACAATTTCAAGTTGAGCAAGTGAACTACACCATATGATTTACTGTGGAAGCCACCATTTGAGTTACTATGCGAGCTATTATAGGATTTACCGTACAAGGTACCAGACGATTTACCAGACAAACTACCAGAAGGTTGTCCATACGAACTACCATACGCGTTACCACACGAAGTCCCACTCTATTCACCACGCGAATTGCCACACGACTTGCCACACGAATCAACAGATGATGCGCCATACGAAGAAAGAGCGCGCTCGTGGCACACTTCTCATTAAAAGGGGAGCCCATCTTGAAGCTTCCCCCTCCCTCCCCTGGAAAAGGTGGGGGCTTCCGAAGCTACCACCCCCTCCCTTCCTCCTGCAGGCATTTCCGAGCTAGGGGGGGCCCTAGCTAAAGCGGTGGGTTGGTTTCCAAGCTACCCCCCCCTCTTTTCTGCAGCCCAAGGTCAGTCCAGGTTCCCCTTTCAAAGGTGGGGGGCCTTCTGAAGCTCCACCCCCGTCCTTCTGTTTGGATTTTGTAGCTGAACTGGGTAGCCCCTGGCTAAGATGGCGGGGGGTGATCGGAATCTGCCCCCCC